ATTCCAAGGTCAGCGGGAAACCGGTGCAATCCATCACACCTTGCGCCCAGAGAGCCCCGCCGAAGCCCTGCGTGGATGCTTGAGTGGCTGAACCAACCCCTTCAGAACCTAAGCCCCTCTGAGGACTTCTGAAGCAGGAAGGAGAAACTGGTTTAGCACCAACGTCTCCAGCAATGTTAGGATCACCGTCCAACCTTTCCTCCTCCTCCCACTGGGACTGAGAGCAGGAAAAGCTGCGCAAATCTGGGTGGAATCGCAGGCTGAGTCGGGCACCCATCACAGGCAAGCGTCCCTGCATGGCCGGTCGGGTGGCTGGGGGTCCTCCCGGCCCCTTGAGCCCCTCCTGTGCACTCTGTTTAGGAGGGGAGCCCGGGAGGTGGGGGCCACAGCGTGGAGGACCCCTGCTCTTAGAGGGCCTTTCTAGGTGAGGCAGGGTTTTATGGGCAGCGGTTCAGTGCAACATGAGAAGAGAGGTGTGGTCTTCCTCCTACATGACGACCTTGGTGTTTGCTTCACAGCAGACCCCACATCGGGCTGACAGATCTCCAGCACTTAGCAGAGCTGAGACCAGTGAAGACTGGGGGGCTCTAGGGCGGGGGGCGGGGTGGCGGTGGAACAAGGATCAGAGGCCTTGGGGACCTTCCTGACTCCGTTTATACCTGGCACGTCCACACAGGCAAACCCACAGACGGGAAGGTTAGCACTTGCCCAGGGACGAGGAGGTTAGGGGTCTTGGGGTGACGATTAAGAGGGTGCTGGGTTTCCTTGAGGGTAAGAGAAATGTTCTAAAATTGCTTATGCTGATGGCTGCTGAGGTCCTCAGAGCCTGGACTTGTGCACTGTCAGTTGTGGGTGATATGGGTTGTGAACTGTGTCTCAGTGAAGCTGTTAGGAGAGAAAAGAGCAGCCCTGGTGATAAAGGGGACGTAGGGGACCCTGCCAACTGGACGTCGGGCCTCAAAGGCCAGGAAAGCGAGAATTCGAGGTCTGTGGGTAATGTAGTCCAGGTGGAGCGTGTGCTTCCGGGACCAGGACCACACTGGCTGGGCCGTCCTGCTGCAGGGCTGAGCCCTGGCTCCGTCACGGAACAAGTCCGCCGTGGAACCCCATGCTCTGCAGGTCAACCCGTGCTTACTGGAAGCTGGTGAAACGTCTCAGAAAGTGTGGGAGGCATCTGGATGCAATGATGCCCACCTCCAGGGTTGTTCGAGAGGGACGGCGCCTCTGCGGCCGGTGGCTGGGTGGGCTCAGTCCTCCGTCCTGTCTTAGTTGGGTGCTCGGCCTGCTGTAACAGACCCTGGAAGACGAGGCAGCTTGTCAGGAACAGTCCTGGAGGTTGGGAGTCCATGGTTAGGGTGCTGGGAGATTCCTGGTTCACAGACCATCACCTGGCCATGTTCCCACCCGACAGGAGGGTGGAGGGAGCACTGTGGGGTCTCTCACAGGGGAATGAATCCCACTCATGGGGCTCCACCCCCATGACCTCATCACCCCCCAGAGGCCCTCCCAATACCACCCTTCTGGGGGTTCGGTGTCAGCCTCAGGATTTAGGGGACGTGATCTATAGCACCCTTGCACTTGGTCCTATGGTGCTGTCGGGCTGGGTGTGGGCCGTGCACTGTCTGGGACCTGGGCCTTGATGGCCCTCTGCCAGGCACTCTCACTATGAGAAAGGCCTCTAAACCAGGGCCTCCGTGACCTTCGGCAACACGTGACTCAAAATGACTGCCAGGAATTCCCATCGGAGTTAATAAACGTCTTCATTCTTTTATTGGTAAGCTCTCTCACACACGTGCAGACACACATACACCCACGATACCTGGTTTCCCATCACACGTCAGAATCCTCCCCTGCGTGCGGGAGCTGGGGGCTCAGGTAGAAGCAACAGAGAACCCACAAACCCAGGGCGGACGGCATCCCACCAGACAGAAGCCTCAGTCTCTCCCAAGGAGCTGCTTTGGGAAAAAGCTTCTTTAAATGCTGGGCCTTAAATGCTGTCTGTGGACCTCAAGCCTTCAACTGGAGAGTGACAAACCTTCCCCCCGAAGGGCCTGTCCGGATCCTCACTCCCCACCCCGGTGTGAGCCCTTGGCTACAGCCCAGGGCCCGGCCAGCCGCCCCAGAAGAATCCTCTGCCAGGTCTCTCCCACTGGCTGAGGCCGCACGTGGGCTCAGGACTTGGGACTTTGCTCAGAAATGACCCAAGCTGGCCTCCGGGTGTGTCTGGGGCAGCAGCCCCGCAGGGTGGAGGAGCCTCGGCCTTTGGGCTGATGGCCCCAGCCTGGCCCACTGCCTCCACTTCCCCTGCCCCGCTCCCCTCCAGCCCTCACCCCTGCGGCTGCCATCTCTCCAACCAGTCTCTTGGTCCAGGAAACTAGCTTCTCCTTCAGCTCATAATTGCCTCCTCCAGAATTTCTCCCCAGGGCCAGGCACCCTTCTGGGTACCTCCTAGCCTTGGGCAGGCCTCTGTCCGGCCTTTACATCTTGCACGGCCATCCTGTTTGCTACTCTGTCCCTCTCACTGGACGGTCAGCTCCTTGCTGACCAGGGACATGGCAGGCCCAAAACAAAGGCCAAAGGAATGAATGAGTGATGGAGAATTTAGGACACTCTGCCACGAGCTCCTGGGAGTGGGCTGTGGCTTCTTGTGGGGACAAGGGTGACCAGATAGTCACAATGAAAAGTGAAGGGGACATTTTCAAATAGTCTGTTTCAAAGGTACGCACCTCACACAGGCACATATCCACATCCACATGCGTACACGCCCAGACGCCCCCAGGGACACATACACACACTGTCACCGCCCTGGGTCTGGGCGGCCCTGACGTGGCCTCTCGGGCTGCAGACCGGGGTTCTTGCCGAGCTCCTGGAAGAAGAGCTGCAGCTGGAGGCTCCTCAGGCTCTCCAGGCCCTCGGGGGAGAGCTGCTGGGGCCTCTCTTCCCCAGCCTCCCGCTCGTCCTCCCCCTCGTCCTCGTCCTCCTCCCCAGGCCTGTCGGGGAGCTGCGGGGAGCCCCGGGAGACGTAGCCCTGGTCCGACTGCACGGACTGCCGCTGCTCCTCCCCGTGGGGCGTGAGTGGGTCCTGGGCCTGGCAGCTCAGGCTCTGCCGGAGGAGGGGGAGCACTGTGCCTTTAAGCTGCCCCATCACGTCCTCGAGGGGGTGGTTGGGCGATACCACGGGGGTGCTGCAGACAGGCAGGTCCTCAGGGTGCACGGGGAGGAAGATGATGCTGTTCCGCCGGGCACCA